CCACCTTAGGTGTACATGGCTGGTGCCTTAGCCACTTGAGCCACAGGCGCCCAGCCAACATAATTTCTTTGAGAAATAGAGCTGGTATTCCAAATTCCAAAATACTTGGAATTGCTTCTTGGGCTCTACTCTAATAATGGATTATTAACATGGATCAACAAATACCACGATCTGGCATTTAGAGACTTTATCAACCAGGAAAAACTCAGAAAATATTTACTATTATTCCGGTCAGTTAAAAATGTACTTTCAAAGTACTTGGGCTGCCTGTTTTAAGACAAGAAATGTGGACTAAGTTTTATACCCTTCTACCACAGATTGCACCAGGATTTTAATTTAAAACACAGTGACCAGGCTTGGCGCCCTTAGCACAGTGGTTACAGCACCAGCCATGTGCACCGAGGCTGGCAGGTTCGAACCCAACCCAGAGCAGCTAAACAATGACAACTGCAACAAGAACATAGTTGGGCACTGTGGCGAGCACCTGCAGTCCCAGCTTCTCGGGAGGCTGAGGCAAGAGAATCACTTAAGCCCAAGAGTTTGAGGTTGCTATGAGCTGTGATGCCATGGCACTCTACCAAGGGCAACATAGTGAGACTCTGTCTCAAAAACAAAACAAAACAAAAACAACACAGTGACTGGTATTTACCATAGTGATTTTTTTCTGGTGGACAATGTAACTGCTACAATGAGGTACTGGTCTTGAGCTCCCTTCCTCACTTCCAATAAATACACTGAGACACAGTTCCTACTGCAATCATACACCCCATAAGGGATCACCATCAGGTAGACCTAACTGACCACGTGCCCCATTAAGCAAATAAAGTCCTGCATAAAGAAAGTTAATAAGAAAACCTCCTCTCTAAGAACAGGGCAGGAGAACAAATGCTATAGAAACTTAAGTGCACCTATCAAAATCAAAGAGGATTTTCATCTCTTTCTCCAAGGATACTCTCCTTAGAAGAATCTAGAAGAGACTAAACGTCAGTTACAGCAATTGTAGCAATCCAAACTGTCAGATTAAGAACCTGGAACAAAGAGTAGTTAAAGTAACTTTCCAGAAACATAGAGCTAGTGGTAGATAACTAGGATGATAACCTGCATTTTCCAATTCTTCATCCTGTGCTCTTTCAGTTGCTGAGCTAGGGTTCAAATTTTGTAACTATCCAGAGTAACTTTCTTCTAACTTCTTGCCTCGGGAGAATTAGGGAACTCTTAAGGGCTTACTTTTTCTTCAACAACTAAATGAAATATATTTTCTAACTCTCAGATGGCATTTTCTTCTCATCAATATTCACATTCTCTTCTACTGTGGCTTAATTCATTCTTTTTCCTAAGAGGAAGAACTAAAAAGTGACAATTCACCAGGCAGATGACTCTGTAAGTAGTTTTAATCAATCCTGTGGGAAAAGAATTTTGACTAGTTTCCAGATTTTACTACTAGGAAATTATCCTAGGCAGGCCTGCAATAAAACAGACTAAACAAAAGTGATTTAAGGTAGGAAAGAAAATAAAGAATTTATTTAACCTGTTGAGCTTATCTTCCCCAGCAAAGTCCCTTTCTAGTTCAATTTTCCATTGGCCCTGGTTCTGGCATATATTCTTCTTTCTCTCCTATTGATCTATAGCTCTGTTTTACTTTCTCAA